GCACGAAGTGTGCCGGTGCCGCTCCGTGCCCGGAGCTCACCTGGAGACCTGCTCGGAGCGCTGCCGCCTCCCGGCTCTGCCTTCTGTGTCGTAAGGCCTCGTCGCTTTCTCAAAACTCACTGGAAAACACGCATATGCTTATTTTGCTTTCCTTTTTTTCCTCCTTTTCTTTTTTTTTTTTTTTCCTGTAACTTCAAGGCCGTTTAGTGTGACCGGGGTTGCGTGGTACTTGCGGGGGGTTTATGGCCATACCGCGCTTTGCGTGCCGAGAGGCATCGCATGCAGCTGCAGGTCCTCCTGTTACACACAATGCTGATGGGATTTCCCCAGCGTTGTTTTCTTTTCCTGCTTCAATTGTGTTGTGGCAACATAACGGTGCAAACAAACGCAGCTTGAAGTTACTGTCCGAAACGTTTACAAAACCCAAAATGTGAAATGTAAACCGTGAGATTCAAACCGCAAACCTCCCCCAGAAATGAACAGAACTGCTGGTGTAAAATTCAGCTGGATAAAATGAAGCATATACATAAGTGCTGGGAGGGTTTGGGCACAAAATAGTGAAAGTATCATTGTCAGCCTGAACAATTTTGAATTGTAGTAAGTCCAAATTTTCTATGTTTGTTATTTTTAAAGCTGCTGATAATTGTAGTGCCAAATTCCAGTTTCTTAGTTTAAATAAATGTTGTTGGAAAGTAATAATTTTTAAATGAACTTCTAATAAAAAGAGATTTTATACTTTATGCTATGTGCTACCCAGACCTTGAAGCATCTGAACCCGCATGTGAAATAGTTTATAAACAAAATTGAGTGTTTTAGTTATTCTAATGAAGTGGATGAAGCAGAAAAGGAAAACAGGCCACTCTAATAAAAGACAATCAATTGGTTAGAGTATAAAATTCTATCAAATCTACAGACTTTCTAGAATTTACTTGTAAATATTAAAGTGTTATGACCGATTTTTAGAAAAAGATGCCCTATTCCAGAGCATTTCAGTAGATAATCTGAGTCAGAACATGAGTTGCTATTTGATGTTCAGTTTTAATTTTCTAATTACAGAATTCTTGGCTGTGCTGAAATGTCTTGTGAGAAAATCTACGGAGTTAGTGTTTCTCAGTGCTGTTCCTTTCCCTGCCTGTAAAGCTACAATCCTCACTGAAATCAGCGGGAGATCTCCACTGCTATCGGTGGGAGCTGAAGCAAGGCCCTCTGGAACCTTAAACATTTAATAGGAAAATGGGTTCCAAAACAGACATTCAAGGAAATGCTTTAAGCCTTTTTTCCCATGCCTTACTCCTGGTGTCGGAGGAAGACTAGTACAGCTGCGGGAGTGAGAAGCGCTGCTTTTGTGGCTTCGATTGGTTGTTGGGTTTGTGATTTCTGCCGGTTTTGTCTGTTCCGCAGTCCCTAGGCTGGTCGGAAACTTGTGGGAATGTGCTCGAGAAGGAGGGTTAACTTGCCCTGCAGAGACACTAATTGAAGTTGACTCTGTTTTCAAAACTCCTTGTATGGTTTTTATGTCAACGCTGTCTCGACTGTTATCTACACCAGACTGCTCAAGCCAAACCTTTCTGGTGTCCATGTGTATCATAAATAAGCTAAAGCAAATAGGTTAATTTTTTTATTGGCAATTCTCTGACTATGCTTTGCTTCAGTTTTTCAGCATCTAAAATAGGTTTCATAGTCTCGATTTTGCCTGTGAAAGGGGCCTTAAGAAAATGAATAAGCATTTATAAACTCTTTAAGATGCTCGGTGTAACGTTGCTGTGAAAACGCAATATATCGTGACTGCATAGCTACGTTACATTTTCCCCTGACTTTGTCCTATTTATTTCCAGAACATGCTTGAAGAACTATTAATTCATAAGCCAGATGATCCTATTCAGTATATGATAAACCATTTAAAGCAAAACAACGATGATGGTAAGTGAAAATTCAGACACCATAAATAGTTCAATCCCTTATTTGTAAACAGCTGTTTGACAGCTGTGCTCGAGTTGGCAAATGATGGATAAAACTTTTCAGACTGTGTCTTGAGGGGAAAAAAAAAAAAGAAAAAGGTGAGCGTTTTGGAATGGTTATAGGTAAGATGCTTTTAATTTCTTTTTTTAGTGGGTAATCTAATAAAAAAATGCACTTTAACAGTTATAACAATGAAACCCTCTAAGGGAATAACAAAGAGTTCTAGTGTATCAATTATTAATGTGTTCTGTGCCCCATCTGATATTTCCTGTTGTCTTTAAGCTTGCTAATTACTCCTTTTGTCAGGTGTAAATTTGGGTTCCTATTCTACCTGGGCTGGCAGATTCTCTGTTTTTTGATTAGTTAGTTACTAGCTGCTGTTAATGAGTTCCACTGCTCAGTGGCATCTCAGATGAAGGAACGGTGAGCATGCCTACTTGTATGTATAACAAAACCTGGTAAATTGAATAGGAAGTCTGTATTCTGCACAATAAAAGCTTGTACACTCAATCAAATTATTTGATTTACAAACTGTTCACCCTTAGGCAGATTATATTTGGATATGCACAACTGAACTATAATTTTTGTTCTGCGTGAGCTGTCAGGGATAGCTGGTGTCATGTTGCTTTGATGTTTCTTTAAAACCATAGTAAACCATTATGAAAGTTCTGCTGCAGCATCAATGAAATCATTATCACTAGAGGTGCTGTGAGCTCTTAGTGGTGGTGATCAGATGGATGTTGATTGAAATGCTGCTAAATATATATATATATAAAAATCAAATCCTGCAAATTGTGTCCAGCCTTTTCTAATGCAGGCAGCATGAGTAATCAATCTGTTTTATAGACCCGTGGAAAATATGCAGAGGAATTTCATGCGGTTTGATAGAACGCTGATAAAATTTTTTCACATTGAGCTAACATTTGTCCTTAAGCCCCACAGTATTATTTGAACAGAATTAGGCAGGTTTCCATTCCATGGCTTCAGTACTTAGAGGCCAAAGATAGAACTACAGCAGTTGTTTGTCAAAGGAAAAATGCTGTCTGCTGTTGGTCTGGAAAAACCTAACAGGAAAGGGAAGGAACTCCAATTAAAATTAAAGCCTAAATGTTGTTTTAAGAATAAATTATATGGAAAATAATGTAACAGAAATCTGTAGCAGAGTTGATTTTACTTTTTGATCATGGCGGAAGGTGCTGACTATTTAGAAGAAAAAAACCTTATTAGAGCCATCAGTAAAGCAATGAATTTTCATGATCTTGCCTTGCTAGACAGTTTTAGCCCTAGAGAAAATTTCAAACAGAGATGTGTGGAAAAGAAGCATTGCAGCTATCCCAGGTGTGAAGTTAGAAAACCTTTTTAATTAATAATAGGATCTAAAGTACTCTTAAAAATATAAACAAGTCTAATGATTATAGCATACAACTGTCTTGAAATTTTCGTAGGTCAAATGTGTGGCTAAGTGTTTGTGCTCAAGGCTCTGTGCTATTGTTCTTTCATGAGATCCTTCTAAAAGCCTTAAAGAACTGATAATTCTTTCATATACAAAGATGCTAGTTTTCTATGTGATATCTTGGTTTGTGCTAATAAAAAAAAAGCTTTCAGGATCCAAGTGGCATTTCTGCGGGTTCTTCCTTTATAGTCAAACTTCTGAAGAAATGTAAAAAAGTTCTGCGAGAATGTTCATCATGTACTATGTGCTTTTCCTGTTTGACAAAGGATTTCTCTCATAATTTAAGCAAATTTTGTCACATTAATGTTAATCATAGAATCTTTTGGACTTAAAAGAACAGCTGGACTCACTGAGTTGCATTTGCGTTATTCCAGGATTAGTTTTGTTATTACTAAAATAATTGTTGGATGTTAAAACTTACTTTGCTTGGAAGAGATGATGTTACAGGATTTAATCAAGACAAAACATGGAATGAAATATGATTTGTTACTGAAGAAAAAGGCATTTTCTAGATTTTCCTGACTTCGTTTAGCTGCTGGTTTAGACCTCCAGTATTAAATACTGACTATTTGCTGATTGGAGGGGGTTAAACATTACATACAGTGGTGTCCTGGTTGTGCCCTTGTGTCATATGTTTAGGGAGAATGCTTTAGAGGAGTCTTACAAGTGTGCAAATGAGTAAATCAGTGAATTACACTGCCCCATCTGCTGCCAGCCACTAAGCAGAGAGAAAACCAGATTTAGTACAAAGTGAGCATTTACAGTAGCCCTGGGCAATATTAAAGCATGATATGGTGTATATAATGGTATGTTTCGTTTTTTATCAAACGTTTGTCCAAGAAAGCTGTGTATTAAAGCTTCAATACCTAAGGGTTTTCTTGTGAATTTTAAATCATGCTCCTAGTTAAACCTCAAAAGGATCTGTGGATGGAAAGGTTTTTTGATTTTCTTTGAAGTGGTTTGAAGAAGTTGATTAGTGTTGGCACCCGAGCACTCTTTTATGACGCTGTTTATAAATAATTCCTAAGTACCGGGCTGGAGTTTCAAGGTGTTAGATTTAAAAAAAAAAAACCCTAGGATTTAATCACATTACATTTGAAAGAAATTAGGTGATAAAAACAGCTGATGTATCCTTTTAAAGTATTTTTCTACATTGTGTACTAGTTCTGTTGCACTTGCAAGAACCAATAAGGGGGGAGTTTTTCTTAAACCTTCCAAGTCAGATAACTTTGTAGAGATGAATCTGTAATTTGGGTTTCATGTATGTTTAAAAATTGCACCTGCCCAATAACTGTTAAGTGCCTAGAAGGCCTCATAAAAATACATTTCACATCCTTCTCTGTGTGCTGCCATCAGACACTGTCTCCCTTGGTTATCAGGAGCTGAAGAGGGTTTGGGGTGAGTAGATCCCTCCTCTGTTTTGACCTATGTTACTCCTAGTAAATACTCATTAGTCCCTTCTGTATATAGTCTGGTTTGGTTTGTTTTTTTCCCCAAGGTATAGGGGGGGAAAAAAACATCAAAGATGTTAATATAAAATGACAGCTGGAGGGATTGCAGCCCAAGGTGTGTTCATGGAAAAAGTCCCAAATACTTGCCATTTTCCCTTGTTTGTCTTGCCTCTAATTCATTCCCAACGAAGCTTACAACAGTGATGCCTATTGTGTCGTCTGTATGCCTTAGATTAAGAATTCCGCAGAACTGGGATGCATTTTTCCCACCTTGCCCCCTAAGGGAAAGGAGAGGGACACACAGTAGAGAAACACAAGATATAGAGATGAAGAAAATTACTTTTAATGATGGCTAGGAAAATTGAAGGTAGCTGTCAAAAAGGGTAGAGAGAGAGTGCTTAATTTTGCAATATCTAAATCTTCTTTGAACCCTTACACAACCTATTTAGATGAAACTAGAAAGTGAAATTGCATTTTTTGTGATGAGAGCCAAAAGCTTTGCCAGAGTAAAAAGTATTTTTCCTGCCATTCTGTGTAAGGGAAATGAGAGATGATCTCAAGAAGTCCCATCCATTATCCATAATCCCATTCTATGATTATGATAATAAGCGCTTTTAAATAGTCTTGTCCTGCATGTGCAAGCTAAAATATTTTTTCATCACAAAATGTGTTAGGTCTAAATCAATATCTTGGGAAGAAAAGTCAAACTCAGATAAGGAAATGTTTGTATCTTAAGCTCTGGTTCACCCACTAAACTATCCATGTGTTTAAATTGAGATATGTATCTCTCTAAGTGGCATGTTTAGTCAGACTATTAATCTTATTGACCATGGAGATTAAAGGAAGACCCAGCTGACACTGACTGTTCCCCCTTTTTTTCCCCAGTGGAGCTCAATCCTGAAGTCTCCATTCAGGCAGTTTTCTGACTGAAATAATAGTTTCATTGTGATTACATTTATATTATGCAATGCAATAGTGGGAAACTGATTGGGGTTTTTTCTGTTCTGCATCTTGACATGCACGTGTTCTTGTTTCGTAGCTCCCAGAATTTGTGTGCTTGGTCCACCTGCCTCTGGGAAAACTACAGTTGTAAGTATGCTACCTTCCATGTTAGAATACTGTCCAGTTACCTTTTTACTTTCTACTGAGATCAGCACTTGTGAAAATTTTATCCAGAGAAAATAACTTTCAGAATTGTCCAAGTGGTACAAGAGCACAAGACAAGCTGAAGGGTGGCATTCCTAAGGGATGTGCCTGTGTATTACACTACAGGTTAAACAGAAATGTTAAAGTGAGCTCTGGGAGACCTTGCTCAGGCAGTGGTAGTGCTGTAATGCAACAGAATTCTGCCTGCTTTTTTTCCCCAGATTTTTAGCAGGACTAATTAACCTGGGAGGAGTACCCCCACGTACTGGGGTATTTGTGGTATTTCCGTATTGTGGATTGCTTCATTTGCCTGGCCTGTTGTCTCTCATGTCCACTGGTACAGCTTAATTGAAAACGTCCAAGTTGTATTTGAAGCACAGAGAAAGCTGACCACAGAAACCTTACAGATGACGGTCGTGCGCGCATGCTGGGAAGAACGCTTTCTCCTTTAAAATCTGTGTTATAGTACAGTAGATGAAAAAGACCTTATTGAGAGCTGTAGACTCTTGAACATCTTTATAAGAAGCTACTTAAAGTCACACATGTAGTCTGTATGCTTAAATGGGAGGCTAGGACAACGCTCTTTCTGCAGCCTTCTGAAAAAATGTTTCATTTTCTTACCAAATATTTCAACCTGTATTTTTTTCTTCTTCCCTCAGGCAATGTGGCTTTGTAAACATTTGGATGCCATACGTATCTCTCAGGAGACTTTGTTATTCAAGGAAATATTAACGCTGACAGAGGAAGCAAAGGCATATAAAGAAAGAAAACAGGTGTGTAAGAGGGTATGATAATAGTAGTTTTCATGTCACAGAAGAGGAATTATATGGCATTCCCAGGATTTCCGCTGTTATGAGTTAAGCAGATCAGAGTAAATATTCTTATATCTATGGTGGTTTGTACAGTGGTTTGTATATATGTAGGTACAGGATCTTTCAGAGAAGAAGGGTAACCTCTGCTAGATAAGAAGATATGAACAAAGATAAAAATGTGTCAGGGCATAGAATAGGGGCAGGAGAGGAAGGCAATGTAATGTCGGTCTTGAAAACATTAACCTTAGACATGAGCAACAGAATTGAGAGAAGTCCAGGTATGTATGATACAATTTAAAGGATGGTTCATTATATCATTAAACAAAGCATCTTCTATTTCTGCATGTTTAATAATCTCAATAAAATAAGCATTAATCTCTGAGGTCTCCTTCAGTACAAAACACTCTGGAAGATACATACACAAAGAACTTTTTTTGATCTGACAGAGATACTTAGTTGTGCATGTTTGATTTCTCTGTAGCATGATGCAAATAACTTGGTGCGTTATCTGAAAAGGAGTATGACAATCCAGTCAGTTATTGAAAACTCTAGAAGCTCTCAAGCTGAGGCAATAGCAGCCAAATCAGGAGATTGTACTTGGGGTGATGCGCTCTACCCAACTCCAAGTACTCAGTTTGCTCCAGACAGGTTTTTAAATCCATTCATGCTTCACTGTGGGCCTCCTAACTAACGTTCAAAGGAGTTAGTCCAAAGACCATTTCTTCCAGATGTCATGACTCACAAGATAACTTGATCAGCAACGTAATTAATTGTCTTGTTATTAAAGGCTAGCGACAAGTAGATCAGAAAAATATGTTGAAAGAATATCCTGAGTACACAGAAGCATCTCTGCTTCTGATTCCTGCCCTTCTAGCTGATTCCTTTCTCCATACGTCAAGGAGTTCCACAAGTAATAGCATGGAAAAAGTCTGGTTTTCTGTGACTCTCTCTAGCAAGTCCACTAGTTTGAGTTTATCTTTTCTCCCTTGTCACCTACTTTCATAAAAATTGAAGCAATTTAATATCTGTGAGAATTCTATATGTCTGATAAATTTGATTGGAATTGGCCAACAGATTCATAGTTTGCTGAGATGGTAGACAGTGTGATAGATTAATTTTTTGTCCTTAGTTAGACTGAAAATAGGGTAATGTTTATTACACTGAATAAACGAATGAAGTTTGGAGATGCCTGGAGTAAAAAAGATCTGAGAGGAAAGAATTCATTGAACTTGCTGAACCTGCTGGCAAAAAGGTTTGCTTTTGGCTGGGATGATATAAAATTATTCTTATTGAGAATATGTACTTTGAAATCTTCGTTCTAATTATTAAAGATTGTTTTGCTAGGTTCATAAATTTCAACTTGGAGGGGGAGAATTTAAAACAAAAATTCCCTTTGGTTTAATTACTGTAATTATTAACATATTTCAGACTATACAGATGCACTTTCAAGGGTGTCCTTTTGGGCTTATTTGATTTAAAAAGATGGATAGTGTGAAAGATGAAAGTCAAAAATGTCAAGGCTAATCAGGTAGTAAGGAGTGCCCGAAGAGCAGAGTCTGGTGGTGGTTTAGTACTGTGCAGTTTGCCTTTGGTTTTGAGATGTTAGATCCTAGAAGAACATTTTCGCTAAATCATTTCTTTTGTTCTTTTACATGAGTTCGTTTCCTCAAATATAACTCCTAAGACTAGGAGGGAACTCCCTGCTTTCGCTAAATCAATGCAAGCTTTACAATGACTTAAAATGTAGCCAAATTGCCATCTCAAGAGCTATATTTTCTCTTGCTGATTCATTCTGCTGGTTAAATCTACTGTTGTGGTAACTGACCCTGGTTCTGCTGAAGCAAACGGTGAACTTGATTCCTCTAGCATACATAACATCCATTAGCACCAACAGGGTTTGAATGTCTGTTCAGGAACAGAACAATAGCTGTTTATGCTATCTTTGATACAACCAAGGTATTAAAAAGTTGTAGCCCTGGCCAAAGCAATTTAATAAATGGAAAGAGGAAAAGCAGGACCTAAGACTGTGTTTTTGAAAGCCTGGTGTGAAGATCATATAACACAATTTAATGTTGATAGAGGAACGTTTCATGCATATAAGGTTACTGTGGCTAAATTAACCCCAGTGCCAAAGGTCATTCATTTTTAGGTCAGTAGGCCCATGTTACTAGGTCTGGGCAAATGCTGCAAAAATGTCCACAGATGTTTGTTCACATATTTTACTTATCTTTAGCCAAGCTTTCATCTCTTTTGTGTTCACTCCCAGTGAACATTAAAGCATTTGAGTTTTTCTGGCACAAGAATTCATGGAAGGCGTACTTAAAATACGTGATTATTCTCTGAAGCTCAATTTTTAAAGTTGGACATGCAATCATTCCCTGACACACACCTGGCCACTTACTAATGAGCACAGCTCAGGTAGTGAATTTTAAATATTGACTGTTCAAAGCAAAATGTGATCATTCTGCATGTAAAAATATTTCAAAAAGAAGTCAAATATTTTTGAATATTCAAAAGAATTTGAAGGACCACGAGCTATCAATAAATATTCCATGAACAGAAAAAGAGGCTACATTTTTTGATAAATCATTGCAAATTATTCCCTCATCTCTGGTTATTATAATGTTAATAGGAAGCACCTTCAGGTTTTTCCTATAGTGAAGTCTAATGCTGAGCTATTGCATGTTTCACTTTTCCTGTTAACTGGATAAAATAGGAAGTTGAAACAACTGTGGTAATTGTGGGCTTGTGGGATGGGTGTGCTCTTAACGCTATACTAAATTGCAGTTAAGGTGTTTGCATACTACCTAATGACTTCAAACTGCTCGAGGGTTGCATCATATCCCTGTGCTTTTTAGGAAGAAATATAATAGAAGAGAGGAAAACCCAAGGCATCCTTTTCTATGCATGTTCAGCATTCTAATCTAGTTCAGGACGAGCTACTATGAAGGAACAAATAGGAACTGTTCCAGTCTTGTGTATACATAAAAAAGACCAGCCTTTCATGTGTATTTATCTGAACAAGTTAAATCTAACCATTCATGATTCTCAGAATACTAAACCAAATTTCTTCAAACTTGACTGCTTTTCTCTCCAAGGTGCAAACTTGGAGAAGTCAGAACTTTTTAGCTGTAGCTGTTTTCAGAACAAATATATCCAAAACTTCCAATAAAAATGTCTAGGGAAAGTGGTGTCCCCCCAAAAAATAAGTGTAGCAGCTTTATGAAGAGGTCATTGAAATATAACTCTGAGTAGAGCAGGCATGGAAGTTGAAATATGATGTCCCTGAAATAACATGGAATATTTAAAATTAATGATGAATGAGTACAGTTTTTCAGCAGTATGGAAATAGTGATTAAACCAGTGTATGTACAAAAGTGCTCTGAACATAAAATACCACAGCAGCAGGTCTTCTCGTTAACTAAGCTGAATGTTGGGACAGGCTCAGAGTTCCTTAGGTAAGATATGGTTCCGCAGTTAGCAAATATATATGTGTCGTTGTCCATTATTGCAGATTGCTGGGAGGTGAAGTCCCATCTATCAGGCTCATGATATATTTATCTGAGTGTTTATGAGAGAGAAATTGTAGATGTGCTATCCGATATGTATCAGATTTAATGATTTCTAGTTGAATAATTAGGCGTTCTACAAGCAACCTATTGAACATGATTTTGTAGGCTACTGCTCAGTAGGAGGAAAGCTGACCAGGAACTGAGACTGGACTTGAGCCACAGAGAGCAGAAGGAACTAAAACCCTGAAATACCCGCATGTGTGGCCTTGATTGTTTTTGTGCAGTAAACCCTACTCAAAAGAGAGGACTAAGAATACCACTGCACTGAAAGAAGTTAGTATAATTTTGGTTTAAATTGGTTTGGCAAGGCTTAGCAGAGTGGACCCCCGGCAGTTGCTAGCCTGTCTTGACGTGACACATCAAAGAAGCAAGCAAGACGCTAGCTGTTTCTGATAGCAGCGTGATGCACCTTTGGAAGGTGACAGACTCAAAGCCACAGACCAGGCTCCAGCAGCGAGAGGCTGCAGGAGGCTTTGACGCACCACCCTATGGGACCTGCTGACTTTCAAGAAACGCAGCAATTTCTTTCCCTTTTTCTCTTTTACCTGCTTGAATGTTGCCTTATGAATGGCTGATATTAGGAAAGGCACTGAGAACTGGGGACAGTGGAGATAAACAAGACAAGAAAACCCACCGCCTGGCTGGGCCACCTTGTCCATGCCTCCAGCTGAGGACTGGTCTCTTTTGTATTCTGGAGTGCTTGTACCACTCTGCTTTAAAGTGACTTATGTTTCCACTGCTCCTGATGAAATTGTTTCATGATCTAATGAAGAAGGTGGTTATGAAATCTTTCTGCATAGTCAGTCACATTTTCATGTTGCTATCTGCATCCTGTAGCAGAACATAAACCTACAGAAATACTGTTTATTAGGATTTTGCCCTTCAGACTGTTAGGTTAGAAAAAAAGAGATGAGAACCCACAATATATGGAGCTGCGTGGAACAAAGAGTCCAGATCACATTGTTAGGTGAAAGATAATTTTTTGACTTGGGAAGTAGAGAATTTGACTGCAGAATTTTTTCTGCGTGTTCATTTTACCAATAATGACAAAATGAATGGCACTGATCAAGACATTTAGATTAACAGCTGCTCTAACTGGTATGGCTGAGGGTCTAGATATTGTCAAGTTAAACTGGCTAATGTAGAGTTTGTTTAACCAAGTTCAGGATAGAATGAAGGCCTAAATTAAAAAGATAGTGAAGAAAATAGTTACAAGAAGGAAAGAAGGGTATTGTTAATTTCTTGTCAGAAAATCTAATATAATAATGGAAGAAATATTGGGGAGGGAGTGCTAAATCTGTAGAGGAACTTTGCTCTTCTGTCAGAGGGCAAATACTATCTTATAAAACATCTCTAGATATGGGAAAAGTAATAGTCACAGAAAGAAACGGCACTACTGAAAACCTTTGCACATGCAGTTTCAATCCCATTTCACAGTCCAGAGTTTAAAAAGAGACTAACATTAAAATTAACTTTAACATTGAAATGTATTTTAAATAAACTTTCTGGATGATTAAAGAGTACGAGCTACTTGAAACTAAGAAACAGACCTCCTGAAAATCAGACCCTTTGTGGTGTTTGCTCTGTGTCTGAGGTTCTGCTTGTCTCACAGGGTGGCTGTTAAGATCACTAATGCTGAGTCCCCTCACACATGAAGCAGCAGCGGGTCAGATACTTGTGGTTTAAAAAGGACTGCTTGTGGATGTGATGTTCTTATGGATCCCTTTGCAGGTTTGATGTCCAGTGTGTGTGTTCATGTGTAAAACTTGCACCGCTTCCATGTGAGTGTGCAAACACCATGGACATGGGCTTTGTGTTCAGCTTATCTTTAACTCTGATTTTTGTGCCGTTATTAACTCTCTGATATATTATGTTAATGACTTGGGACTTGCACAGGTTTATTTATTTATTTTTAAGACGACATCTCAGTTCACCTTTAACCGGAATATGCCTGCATGGTAAAATTCCTTTTGAACTCAATTGTGAATATTCAGCCTTTTTTTTGTTCTTTCTTTAGAAAATTCCCAATGCGCTTTGGGCCAATCTGATCCAGGAACGTCTGTCAAACGTGGACTGCATCAAACAAGTAAGAATTGCTCCTCAGAGGGCTGGTGGATAAGCACTTACACAACTCGTGCATAGTAGTTAGCATTCTGAGTCCTGAGCAGAGGAGGGAATGGGGGCAAATCATTGGGGGCTCTGGAGCGGATTGCTTTCTTGAACATCAGCAGAGGGAGTTTGGAGCTTTATTAACAGGATAAAGGGGAGGATGAGAGTATGCATATGCTAATATTCTAGCACAGAGATGATCAAAGGCTGAACAAGCATAGCTTTGTTGATTGCCTGGGGCAACTGGCAGAGTTAGAGTGGACAAAACAGATAAACAGAAAATATATAAAAATCAATATGTTAAGATTTTAACTCTTATTGAGGAAAGGGAGTAAAAAAGAGTCTAATATTACTCATTTCAATTGTCTTTATTTTCCATTGTGACTTTTTTTCTTCCTGTGTTAGTAAAAACTGCATTTGAATATATTCTCTTCTAGGTAATAATTAACATGTTCACTGTTAGTTTACACAAATAGGCAACTGGATAGGTTTAGCTGTCTTCATAGATGTGTGGCTTTTTTTCCACCTCCATGTGCTTAGCTTTAATGGCAGTAGAGACTTTTAACATAGAACCAAAAGAGAACTTAAGTAGATTAATATTGGTTGAAATTGATGGCTGGACTCGAGGAAAGCAAAATCTCTTTTATGTGTTTCCTTTAAAATCTCAGATGATGTTATGGTTTATTGAGTCCATAATCAACCCATTATAAGGGATTATTTATAAGAGACATACTAATCTACTGGATAAACCCCAGGTTCTAAACAGTGCCAGACTACAACCTGCATATTATTTGATGCACTTCTTGAGGAGAAAGTCCAGTCCAAAGTAGGTGTTATGTTCATGAAGGACTAAACAGCTTTTTTTCAGATAAATAGCACATGTTTTCAAAACAGTCACTCTGTAGCGCTCGCACCTTTTGGTCAGGGGTAACTAGTACTTCCTGACCACACAGAGGTATTGCAAGGCTCAGAGTTTTATTAAAATCTGTTGCTTCTTAACATCATCATCATCATCTACCTTGTTGGTTGAATAAAGCAGGACTAGTAATTAACTTTTCATTGAAGCGTGAAAATTGCGTCCTAAAGCTTCTTAGCATTAAGCACTGAAAGAAACTGGAAATGCTGAAAACCTTGTGTCATGTACTTCTTTCTCTGTGATTTTTGGTGTAGTCTGCAGTGATCTGCAGACTGGATGCTTCCATCCATGTAAAACAAAATAATCTTGGGGGCTGGGCCATGGCCTTGTAGTTTTTAAGATGGTAATTCTGTAGCGGAGGTGTCAATAGGTGCAGAGAAACATCAACAAAACTAGCAAGAAGAATTAAAAAAAAAAGTTCTGCCCCTGTTGAAAGTTTGGGCTTTTAGAACTCAGATAATATAAATGATTGCCAAAGTTGTCTTCATGCTTCATGTGCTCCAGCGCAAAGTCAACTGTCTTAGCTTAAGCCACTGACGGCAGTGGCTTTCAATGGACCCGCCTTGCGTAAGCTAGATCAGATGGACAATTACAGCACGTGAACTGTGGAAAGGATCATTTGATCAAGATGGTAATGAATAGCTGGAGATATAATCTCTTAAATTGTTCCTGCCTGAGGTTTGCTAGAGGACATCCGTCTGTGTCACATTTCTGTTGTGAGCATATAGCTGCAGCAAAATAGGCAGTATGCTGTCTCTTCAAGCAGTACTTAGAACTAGCAATAGCTAAACTTCGACCTATCCCATTACCTAATCCACTGGTTGCATGAGAATTTAATTTAGAATAGTACCTGCTGGTGTTTAATGTTACTGCGAAAAGTCATTAAGCTAAACCAAACCTTTCCTCGCCCAGCTAATCTTGTTCTTTTGCCAGGTCACAGAAGAGTGCATGGCAGGGCCTGTATTTGCATTGGGAAGTGTCTTGCTATAAAAGTTCTTCCTTTTCCATCAGTAGAGGAAGCTCTGAAGGAGTAAAAATAAGTTTATGTGGGTGATTTTTGAACATTTCTTTGCATTTTTAGCTAAATCCAGTTTTAACAAGAGACTCACTGTAACAAAATTTTGGGATGCATTATTGGCTCCCATACATATTTACAAATGACAGTGCAGGACTCCTCCTCCTTCAAAGAAATGTGAGCAATTGGTTTTATGAAGGGAAATTCATGAAACAGAAACCTAGCTCATCTCTAAATTATTCTAGATTTATACCAGATAGAAATCCCATTAACGTTCATGGGGTTGAATTCCTGCAACTTTGGAGTAACAGTGATGAGTCGAACCCTGTGCTTTTAAACTACATCAGTATTTGCTTACATGGGGAATTGCCAAGGATTGTAAAACGTACTGGCAACTCTAAACTGCATGGATTTTTCCTGATGCCCCCTCCTGCCTTCTTTCCGCTTACTGTGAACTAATGAAATCTACTTTAGCGTGCAGATAAGACACAATTTTTAGGCAAAAAGCACACTGCTGTTAGTTCAAACTCTTATTTTCTTCCTAAACATAGCTGCTGTTTCGCTTTGAGTTCCCTTCCTACACTGGTACAATCAAGACCTGAGAAGACTGTGGAAGAATTTTCTAGTTCGTTCTGTATAAGGACATGACTCCCTCCCCTTCTTGGCCAAATGGACCGTTTTTTGTGTGTTTTAGGATCCTATGTTTCTTGCTCCATGCTTCATCATCTGGGAGACTGAAACAATGATTTCTGGATCCTTAGAAAGGAGTAAAGAGATTGGCAGAAAACCTAACAGTTATTGATGTTTTTTCTCTACAAAATACTGTATAACTCCATAATTGATCTATTAATTTTGAATTTGCAAAGTCGAATTAAACTTTTGCATTGCTAGTCACTGTGCTTGAATTATATTGGTCTGTCTGGTTTCTCTTGAAGGTATTTTTATTTTATTTTTATTTTATTTTTATTTTATTTTTAAGTCATAATAGTTATTTAGCACTCCAGATCAAATATCTGGTAGTTATTGATCTAGTTAAGGTTTCAGCTATTTTTAGAAAAAACACATAATTGATTTTTCAAAGTTGTGATGGTTATTAAAAATCTTTTACTTCATAGATAGTAATTCACAGTCACTAAAACTTTCTCACATTGTGTATGCCTTTTCCATTTGAAAGGGGATCTATGAATTTTAATGGCAATATTTTCCTTGTGTGATTGGAAATAGAATTAATATTGTGGATTTTTTACATTATTGAACAGATTTATGCCATTTCTTTCAAAACATGAGTCAGCATTTTTTTAGTGAAAATGTTAATAGATTAGGAGCAGTATGTTGGATCATAGTACCACCAGCTGTTTGTTTTATTTCTCCTTGTGGTGTCATTGGCTTGGCATTAATTGTACAGCTTTCATCCCACTGACAGTAGGAATACAGAATTTTTGTGCCGTTGTTTTGACACTCACAGGTTTATAGATGTCACAGGCATTCTCTAAGGAGAACATTTTTATTGATCAACAGCTCTGCTGAGACTCTGTGTTGTGTGTTGTTCTAATACAAATGTAGTTAGGACTGCGAGGGATCAGACGGGTAGGTCTCCCAGCATACGCAGCAAACTTATTGCAAGCATTATGTTAGAACCTGGGACTTGTGAAGCTGATACGAAGACTTTTCATCTTACAGGGTTAGTGCATGTTGGCTACGGCCCCTCTGACTGCTGGTGTTGTGGAGGGAATTTATAGAACCGGGGAGGGCTAGTGAAGAGGTTGCTACATGGTGAATTTGCGAGAGCGCGCTGAGCAGCCTTACTCGTGTCTTAGGACCATTTAGAAACTAAGCTTAGGCCAGTGATTCACAAGAGTAGTGGTAGAATTACTTTTGATTGGTACGAAATAGTTCAGAAGGGTGGCGGCTATCCTTGAAAGGGAAGTGGAGCAACGGCTATTGGTTCTTTCTTACCTTGGGAGATAAAGATCATCATGTTGTCTCCGGGAAATTCCATGCAAGGATAGTGATGTTACATAGATTTATCTGGGGAGAGAATCTGCCTATTCACCATCTTTTTTGTTTTCCAAGAAGAATGTGGCTTTTTTTTTTTAGCAGCTTTGCAGTTTACTCAGCCTACAGAAATAACATGGGGAATAAAAGGTTTCTTTCTAATGGGAAATTTGGTGAAGCTGGAGCTTCTTTCATCATCCGTGCTGCTAATGTTGATGGACTGCAGGAGCTGGGTTGGCAATACTTCTACTGCACTCCTCAGTCTGCTGTTTTCTGAAAATGTCAGAAATTTTAGATTCATACTGGCAACGCTATTACCGAAATTAATTTTTTTTGCATTATTGTCTTTCCTCTTTCTACAGATGGGAGTGAAAGGCATGTAATACTTTTTCAAAAATACTGAATGATGATGTGGAAAAACTGTTGCGATGTGCCATTTTCCTAAAGGCAGCAGTGTTCATGACCTTTGATCTTTATGCTTGTGGCTGAGATTTCTTTCAGATGTGCCACGTAATTCAGCATGATTTCTCTGTGCTATCCCTTTTCTGTATTTTAAGGCAGTGTCAATTTTGGATTCTGTAATTAAAAAAAAAATAATTGAGACTGTGCAGGTCAAATAACAAGAGAGAACTGAATGCCCAAGTCATTATTATTGAGGTGAAAAGTGTGACTGTGTAGGCTGGGTATTACAGCTGAGAGTAGTGCCAGCAGAGGAATGAGCTTTACATTTGGGAATGACCTTGAGCATTTCCTTTTCTCCAGATTCCTTAAATCTGGAAAGCGATGGCTTTGAAAGTACTTCCTTGTTGCTGACTTTCAGCATGGCATGGGTCTCCAAGGAGCACTTCACCTGGCGTTAAGGCAGCAGCAGAGTGCTGTGTTCACGGCAGTCTTCATGTGGGGAAGGATTGAGGTTTCCAGCTGAAGGAGAGGGAACAGTGACCACAGAGTAAAGGCACTGTGGAATTCCTCACTTTTAGCCTTTGTTCCACCCTTGATGTGATAAGGTGCAATCCATGCATGGATGTAAGGTTACTGCTATCAAGAACAAAAAATAGATGGCTTCTTAAAGAAACAAATTTACTATGTGAAGTTACTAATTACACTTTAATGATAGTCAGGAGGGCAAAAAATACCAGTGTTTGCATAAAGCATGATAGGCATATTTTAAGTCAGGTCTTGCTCTGCTGTGTTTTGCTTCCTCTTGCTTCGTTCCCAAGCCACACTCCCTTTTTTTTTCTTTTTTTTTCTCTTTTTTTTCTTTTTTTTTTTTTTATCTGTGACATCTGCTTGGAGCTTGTCCCTCCTGTGATACCATACTACTTGCAGCTGTTCAGACCTCCAGCTCTGAGCTGTGCATGGGGTGCCCTGAGCATACGGCCTTTTTGATGTGTGATAAAACAGAACCAAGCCACTGGGGGTATGGAGAGGGAATGCAGCAGAATATCAATAAACCTGTTCTGAACAAAGCTGCAGCTCTGTGGTGGAATAGACATTTCACTGAAGTGTCAAGTAGATGGATAATGTATTCTAATTAGGGACTGACTGATACCCTGGAACTCAGAGACCTTTGGAAATAAGATCCAAAATGCTAACTATTTTTGTAGTGTCTGTTTATTTTGCATTTGTTTAATGCCTTAAAATGTGTTTGTTGCAGGAAGCTCTTTATTGTGCTATGCTTTCTTCCACTGCAAAAACTTTTAGCTATAAAATTGTTTATTGCTTGCTTTAAGGACCTTTGAAATTTGTATATAAACCTATGGAAGTTTGCTATGCATTGTTAAAAACAATATTCGGTGCTTACTGCCTGTTGCTCGGTATGTGATTTTGAGCAATAAGCTGTAGTGAGATCAGAAGCAATGGTTTTGTGGGGTGGGTTTTCTTTGTTTTGTTTTAGTTTCCAAAAGTGTTGCACTTGGAGAAAATGAGCCAGATTTGTAGTTTGCGTGAATTGGCATAGATTTATTGGCTTCAGACCTCTGATGCCATTTCTCCCCAGAAGAGGATCTGGGCCTATATACATGTTGTACAAGCACAATATATTCAGAACTACTGCTGAAGTTCCTAGCACGCCACTAAAACTATTGTGCAGCCTTGCCTCCTGCAAGTCCCAAGGGGTAAATTGATTTCTCAGCACCTGTGTGACCTTAAGACAGCGGTTCATTCTAATTCGATAGAGCAAACACTGGGAGTGGCAAAAATGGCTTGCAGTTATTTGAGTCTCTTATTTTCTACAGATATCAGCAGCATGACATGTTCCTGAAACCAGGCTAATTAAGGAATTTTAAATAGTCTACTCTATTTTCTTGTATAATTGGAATGTCCCAATTTCCTCCTACAGAAGTCATGGAGATATGTTTCCCTGAAATACTTCTAAAACCTTTGGACCCCATACTGACAGAGCTTCAAATTTATGTGAGGGATGATAGTGATTGCTAGCTAATGCAGTATTAAAATATCTTCTTTATTTCAGTACCAAGATGGTTTCCAGATTTATTGTAGTATCACAAAGTTATTCCGAGGTATAGGATACAGTGACAAGGACACGTGTGGTTAAGCAACTAACAGATAAATTAGAGAAAGTTTAGAAGATTCAGACTTGAGACCGGGAAGTGGATTAGATTTCAAATACTGCATCACACAGAAACTGAGTGAGGGTGCACCTCTCCTACGGTATTTCACAGATCTGTAAATGTTTTTTTAAAGATGCCCAATCCAACACTTAGCTGGCTATAACAAGGACTTAAGGGAGCAAAAGGCTTTTTTTCCTTTTTTCTTTCTTGTGCTCTGTTGCTTCATTAGCTTTGGGAATGCTGGTTCCATTACTGTGAGTTTTCCTGTATAATTTAAGAAAATAATGAAAGCGTGCATATTTTCCTCAATGTTCTTGGCATTAAATCTGTCTTTAGATTTGTTTAGCTGCTTTTTTTTTTTATACACAGTGTGGGCTGGTATCCTTTTGAATATTTCAAAACTGTAGAAATTGGTTTGGGTTGTTTTTATTCAAGATAGAAGTTGTTTGGTTTTTTTTAAGATTGAAGCATTAAAAAAAATCATTGCTGCAATACATAAGTTCCCATTTCTTTGTGGCAGTGGTATTAGTGCATGCCATTTCACAAAAATATCAGTGCTCCATGTTTGCTCTCTTCTCACAAGCATCCATGACAAATATTGTGCTGTTGTAACTTTTGTGTAAATAGCACCGATATTTAGTGCTAATTTTTCTGTTTTCCTGGATCAATAACCGTTTCATGTTTTTGTTCAATAGGGATGGATTTTGGAAGGCTTCCCTGAAAATCAGGAACAGGCATGGATGCTGCAGTCATCTGGCATCATTCCTAGGCATATTGGTAAGCAGTACAAGGTTTCTGTGTGATTGCATCCAGTAGGAAAGACTAGAAGTGTTTCTCCCCCAAAATCCTCAGTAAATTCAGCACCGATACTGAAGACACCAGAGTCACCAGACAGCAGAATATTTCAGTATAGTTCAGATTCACTCGAAAACTTGAGGTAACCTGGGAGATTTCGAACCCTATCTTTCACACAGGACCCCTTTTCTTCTTACACATTAGAGTTCTGCAAAATTCAAGACCACTCCAGCAAGTGTCTCTGAGCACCTATATTTAGCTTTGTTTCTGTTCTAGGTGTGAGTCTAAATTTTCTCTGACTTCAATCTCTAGAAATCAGCCTTTATCCTCAGACCAAAACAATTTCTCATGTACTAAATACAAATTCATCCTTCTGTTGAATTAGAGAATGCAAACTTAGCAAACTTTACTCCACCAAATGAAGCGGAAACATCATGATTTTAAGCTTGACCTTTCAGACTATGGGTGGATTCTGACTTGATTTGAGAGCAACATTTATCTACTGGCAAAGTGCTGATAGACAAGACCTTGACAGCTGCCCTTGCCATCTAGAAGAAGCCAGTTGTCCCGAATTAACATAGTTAGAGAACCTACATAGAATGTAAGATATTATTATTATGATTGTGTGGAATACAGTGTAAAATGATAAATGTAGAGCGTGCCAGTGGGTAGTGAACTTGCCAGAATGTTAGGAAACTTGATGAATTGTCACTTTGGATTTGATTTGGATGAAATTTGACTGTTAATGAAGAATTCAGAATCACTGCTATAAAGTTAGGCAAAAATGTTTAATGTCTAGTACTTGCATGTATTTTTAATATAGCTAATAACATCTGAAGTTGAGTTTTGCTCACAATTATATCTGTGCAACCAAGACCTGAATGAGAATCTTAAAACTCAGTCTGTCTAGTTAATCAAAAGAAGATTGAGAGGAGATGAGATTTAGAGTGTATGAGTACCTTACTAGGGAGAAAATTGTCTGAAAGAGCTATTTGATACAGAGAAGAAAGTAATAAGAACTTGTTTGAAACCTGTAATCAAATGTACTGAAAATAGTAATTAAATTACAGTGTTTAACTGTGAGGATGATTAGCCAAAAGCAACCAAGGGAACTGACAGATTCTCCATCTTTTGATGCTTTCTAATCAAGTTTGAACAGTTTTCTGTGAGGTTATCAAAAAATAAATTTCACTGGTATCTCTACTAAAGTACCTGCATGAAAAGTAATTGGGTTTGATATAGAAGAGAATCAGTCTCAAGTGATCTGTGAGTACTTCTGCCCTAGGCTCCAGATACAATGTAAGTCACAGAGAACCTTGTTATTTGGTGCGGGGACTGAGACAGCTCCTACTCAGGGGTATAGAGCTGTTACTAATGTATATTTTATCCCACTATACTGTTTAGGACATAGAGCAAAATTCTGATTGAAAGTGAAGTATTTGCAGGTAGAATACTGGGAAAGGAGAATGAGACAAATGTGCTTGAACTACATTAATCCATCTTTAATACTAGGATACATCTAAACAGTAATAGGGAATAAAGCAAGTAATTAACAAGGGCTACACTGTTTTCTTCTTTTCTTTTCTTTTTTTCTTTCTTTTGTACCTAGTTGTGCTTTATGCTCCAGACACTGTGCTGATTGAGAGGAACAGTGGGAAAAGGCTTGATCCTTTCACAGAAGGTGCAGTATGTGTTTATTCCTAATCTCCACTAGAAACGGGAGTATTGCGTGGTCCCAGAAACATTGCAATGCCAGTGGAATTAAAATTTAAATGGTATCCCTTTAAGAACTAGTGGGAATTTATAATTATAAATTTAAACTGTTTGGAAGAAGTCTTTGTTGACATTGTGTTCTTTTCTGTGCCAATAAAATATGGGAATATGTAAAGCTCAGTATTGAGCCTGCAAACAATTAAACTATGGCAGTACAGAATATTTGAAGGTTTAGATCTGTCCGTATGAGCTTACCTTTTGCTATGCATCTTTGCTACATCCTGTTGTAGTTTTTCTTTCCTGAGGTGCAGTTATGGTTTTAGGTATCTTCCATTAAATGACTGTGAGATAGACTTCACTCTATATTGTCTATTGAATATTATATCAATCATCCATCACGAAATAAAATCCTGACATTGCTCAGTAAAAAATCATGTTGGATGTTTTTGGAGTGGCATTAGCACGGATGTTCTTAACTAAAGAAATGGCTTTTATTTGCTATAAAGGAGATTTGCTTATCAAAGGTCTTGCTTAAGGTTCAGCCTAAGAATTTGGAGAGCTATCCCCAGTTCCTGGTTCTCCCTTGTCACGCTGTCCTGGCTACGTAGGTGAGCCGTTACCTTGGCCACTTCCTACCTGTGCATCCGCAGAGTAATAGTCAGCTGTCGGTACAAGTAGAGAGGGAAGTGCACGGGTTATCGCTTGTGCCACCAAAGTAAAGCTTTAACAAAGAGCTTGATTTTGTTTAGGAAACCTTTTAGAGCTGAGCAAGACCTATTAGGTCATCCTCTTAGTTCCTGATCAGTGTCTAACTTCTAGAGGTGTACCATACGACCTTTGACTGGCCCAGTGATCCGCAAGTACAGCAACGTTTGGTGAAACCAGAAGATCTGTCTGAACAGGAGATGTCAAAGAAACTGCTGGAATATCACAGAAACTTCCCTGGGATTTTCCAGATCTACCAAAAAGTTTTGAAATTGATCAATGCAGACCAGCCTTCCGTGGATGTCTTATCACAGGGTAAATATGTTCCTTTATGGCAAATCTGATAGTTGATAAACTCCTGCTTGAAAGGTAGTTCCTAGCCATTAGAGACAGTTTGCAGGATTAGGGTTAGTCAACACAGATGGCTCCCAGCTGAGTTGTGTTCTCTCTAGTGCAGCGTTTGGGCTGTTCCTGGTAATTATTTTGCAGGACTAGTGTAAGTGCAGGTAACTGGGAAGTCTTAGTTCCACGGTCCTGCCAAGGAACAGCTGACTCAGTAGAGCAAATGTCACGGTTATTTCTGTAAGAGTCTCTTCTAAAAGGCTGCGTTGTGGCTCAATTGTTAATCTCCCAAAGGGCTAGTACCTTCCACAAGTCTGATAATAAGATGTAGGAGTACTTCAAAGCCAGTAACATTTCGTTATTTAAAAGCTGTTTGTGCTGGTAGCTTTTCTGTTCAACAACTCGTTTGCCTTTGCTTGACTGTAATGCAATCTGACTTTTAATGTTGATACTTCAAGAAGAGAATAAGGAAACTGCCAGAAAGACCAATTGATAATGTACTTTGTAGCTGTCAGTCTGTAGATGATCTGTTATATCCCAGTAATTTTGCATCTCAAAAAGGTCTTTTTTTAATAACAAGTGCTGCACTTTTAAGATAAACAAGTAGGAAGTTTATATTCTGAATTTACACATTAATTACCTCTAAATTACTTAATTAAATTTAAAAGTTCATATCATCATTCATAAAGAATTCATGCCTTGAATTGTAAATAAAAATGTGAGTGCCTGAATATTAATTATTATTAATTAATAATGTAGTGAGATAAATTGAAAACTGGAATGGAAAAATCCTCTCTAGATCTTTTTTCTGCAGTGCATCAAGCAGTCAGATTTTTTTTTTTTTTAAAGAATAATTAGATGTGGAGACTGTCTAGGGGATCATTACTCCTAATTAACTTGGTTATTTACTGCAAATTAAGCATCATTTGTAAGCAGGGTGCTTTGCCTGTAATGTTTGTGCTTTTCAATACACTGGGTTATGGAAAATGTTCAGAATAACTAGAGCACTCCTTGGGTAGCTGATACTTGGGTTTTAGTAAGTTATGCAGCAAACACACTATTTCCTGTTATGATTTTCCAGATTTTGTGTTAAGTATTTTTATTGCTACAGATAGAGTTGAAAAAGAAAGAGGAGATGTCCTATCAGTCTTAGTATTATTATGGACTGTTTCATACAATTATAAAATTTTGTAAACTTTTAAATTACTGCTACCATATGCTAGGATAGGTGCCATCAAATTCAGTTGTACAGTGTACTATCCCAGTACAGCTTGTGGCACTGGAGAAAGAGATGTTTGTGGTCCCATGTGGTTGCAGTTTGAGTTAGTTTCTCAATACTTTAGGTCCACTATCTAGAAATAGCAGGGATGAAGTTTGCTGGAGATGCTTCTTTATTATGAAATTATTTTATAATGATGCCAAAATGTCTAGCAGAAGGTCCTCAAAAAATTATTAGTTAGTATACAGCAATGTGTTAACAATGGTAGTTAAAATAGTGACCCTTACAATGTTCTCCATCAATCCTTTTGTGTTTTGTTTTAATATGGGCTTGTGATTCATACAAATATTAACGTCTAAGCCTATTTGTTAGACTAAAATATCATTTTATTACAAGGACTCTTTTTAGTCCAGAGAGTCTTTTACTTGAACTGAAGATGACTGGGCTAACACTGAATTGTATCCATTGCAATTACAGGGGAGATCAAAGCCTGTGTAGGTGTGCCCATGCTGCTTTAATCATGGGTAAACATGGTAGTCAGGATACGGTGGCATTTGAATCTGTGATCCCTGGAAAGCTTGCGTAGCTTATGCTGAAGCAGAGCTGCTCTCTTCACTAGTAGCTAGCTGTAGAAGGGGCACAGGGAGTGAAAGTGTTTGGCTGTGTCTAAACAGGATCCTAATTTGTCCTCACTGCCAAACCGTGTTGTCGTCTAGCTTCTTGGTCATCTATCAGGTTCTCTTCTGGGACTGTAACAAAGTTCAGATCTCTCCAGTGCAGCAATGTTGGTGATGCTTCACATGTCTTGTGGTCTTTCCAAAGCTCTTATAATCTGTAGATTGACCTGAATGTAGTATTTCCTACGCAATACAAAATGTAGAGGAATGATGTCCAGCAAACAGAGTGGAATTGGACAGAGAAGCTCAAGTATGCTTTGCATGTTATGCAAAAATAATGGACAAAAGAATAAAATCATACTGAGTTATGTGTTCTCAATGCCGTATTTTGTCATTGCATCCTATGCTACGAGTCTATAATGTTGTAATTAGGAGTCTGTTAATCACACACACAGCTGGATAAATGTCATATTAATTTAACATCCTGAGGTTTTATGCTTAAATATTTGTTCAGAAACTGCAAAAGTATTACATGTAATTATATCCCTCTATAATTTGCATGGTAAAATTGTACTTATCAAGCAAAAATTACTTCTGCTAAAAACAACATGGTAAAAGAGTAATTATTAATTAAATCTGCTCTTTAAAATAGTTTGACATCTACTGATGAAAGAAAGTATAGGAGTGTAATGATAATAAGATTTCTCTCAGTATAAGTTGCTGACAGGACAGTTTTATCAGAGTCCTGATTTTGGTTGGAGTATCTAGATGTTCCAGTGATAAAATAAATGATGATCAACATGACAACCTTTTTTTTTTTCTTCTTAAAAGAGAGAAGTTAATCAATGTTTATATTCTTTAAAAAAAAAAAAAATAAGGATATAAACTGTATTTCTTACCTTTCTCTCATGTTCTAGTTCTTACCTATGTCCAAACACGGCACCGATCAGCCGCCCCCTTTACACCGCGGATTCTCTTTTGTGGACCCCCAGGCAGTGGGAAGAGCCTGCAGGCAGCACTAATAGCTCAGAAATACGGTGTCATCAACAGTAAGTTCTCAGTAAATATGCACTTTTCTCAATTCCCCCTTTCTCTCTTTTTGATCATTTATCTTTTCCTGATTTTCTTACTTGCTCATAAAATTTCTCTGTTGGTCCATTGCTATGGATGTCAAATTTTGAGGGAAGTGAAAAGTATTTCAGTGAAGAAATATAAACCAATAGAGCATATATTCTGTGACAAACCAGCTCTAACGGGTTTTTTTAGTCATCATGTTTTATACCCTTTACATCGGTATTTTTCCATGGGTTAGATTCCTGTGGTGCTCTGAATTCTTCTGTGGATCGGTGGATCAGGAGTGATGTCTGCAGTTTCAGCTGTCTGACCAAAGTTGGGGCACTGTTAGAATAGAATTTACTCTGAACTTTAATGAAAACTGAGGTTCTATGCATCTGAAGTAATCTATTAGAAAAGGAAGCAATTATTTTAAAATGCATTCTCTTTGCTTTGTAAAAAGGAGACCCAGAATATTCTATATGAGGCTTGTGCGTGGTTAGCATGCTCATGTTAGTAAGTCCTGTAATATGAACGCGCGGCTGGGCGATGGGATCAATGCGATGTGTGTCCATGTTCTATAATGCCTTCTAATAGTGGAGTAGCCATAAATTACTTTAAACGAATGTCTGATATCCGTAAAATTTGCTGATTAGTCATATCCTCTTCTGTTAAGTAAAAGGCAAGTTTGTTTCATTAGTATTCTCTCAATGTATACCAACTGAAAAAAACAGAATTAAGTAGGTAGTGATTTTTTTATCTTGGGGAGATTCTTTAATTAGTGGAACTCACTCTGTCCGTAGTGATGTGCCAGTTTCCTCACGTCTTCCCTGAACTCCTGGTGAAGTCATAAGATTTAATTGAACCTGGATTTGGCTTTACATGTGAATAATAACTTCAGGATCTGATCGGTATTGTTTTCAATCATAGATTTAGTAGATCTGCTCAGAAAAGAAATAAATGTTTTCAAGTTCAAACTTGAACCTTCAGGAAAAGCCATATGCTTTCTATATAATGGTTCTAACAAAGGCACAGAACCAGCTGTGAAACTGTCTGCCTCTCAGTTTGGGCTTCTAGGTTTAGTATTTTTGTATTTTAAAACTTTATTTTAGTGTTTAAAAAGCCATGAATATGACTAACTTGATACCAGTGAACTTGCAATATAGATTTTTTTAAATACTTTAAATTTACCTTTTTCAATACTGATAAGTACAAATAAAATTGATATAATGTTTATGCTACCGGTTATTTTAATATTGCTGTGGTTTATAATGTCATATTAAAAATAAATACTTGTAGATTTATTCAAAGCTGTATTTTTAATGATTATGTAATTGGCTTAATGAAAAATAAAACATGTTTGAATGTGTTAAAAATTAACTTTTTCTCATGTTTCCAAATATTTTTTTTGAACTTTATTTCTAAAACTGCAAGTTTGATAGTGTTTTCATCTAGGTCAAAATTTGCATTTTTTAAAAAGTGACTACTATATGAGAAAGTTGCAGCTCTTTTTACTAAATACCATTACCACTGCTTTACCCATATGTTAAATTTTATTTTAAGTATACTGTAAACCAAATATTAGAAGAATTAAGTATTTAAAACAGAGTTGGAAGACCATCATTTTTCACAATAGTATTCAGTGTATACTTAATTTCCAATTAGGCCATTGGGATTGAAGCACAGGCTTAAAAATTTAATCCTATGTTTAAATAATCTCATGAACTGGATTGAATTTAGGTCTATACATATCTGTTGTCTTATGTTGGAGTCAATGCACTGAGTTTCTGTTAGGTTTTTACACCATTTATTGTGAATATGAATTTGCTTCTCCGGGACAAGTAGCGACTGTTAAAATTTGCGTTCATCCCTTGTCACTTAAACATTAAACTTCATCATCTTTGTCCTAGAAATGTTCCTGTGGAGTATTCTTACTCTTGCTTGCCAAACCGTGCGTTTAACAGCGATAAAGCAGATGAAAGGGCTTGCTTCTTTTTCTGTTAAAGTCAGTGCAGATGTTGGTGCGATTGATTTCCGAAAACGGGGAATCAGCTTAGGATTATTAATTGAAAGGTCATGCAATAATGTACAGAGTGACCGTTACTAATAGTGACCAAAACTGAGTTGAAACTAGGACTCGTTGTGAGATTGTGTAACCTCTCCATGCCTCAGTTCCCTCCCTGCAAAACGAGGGCCAGGACTGTTGTATCTCACCGGCGTGGGGCAGTGAGAGTCAGTAACGTTGGTCAGAAAGTGCCATCCACGCCCAAAGGAGCCGGATTTCCTATACAGCTGTCCTGACTAAAACTTTCACTCTGCATCTCCTGGTGTTCTGTGTATTTGAAGTCAATGATAATATTGCATTAGCACAGATTTTTAAATATAATTCTTACATGATCATTAAATGATCCAGGGAGTCACTTTCTTGAACTGCATGTTATCCTGCATCTCCAACAGTGCGGTTCAGCTGCT